CGGAAGATGATCCTGTTAGGAGGCTCCTTTTCTTTATTAAGAATCCAATGTCTAGGCCTGTAGACATTAATTTTACTGTTTAAAAACACGTTTACTTACTAAATATAATGTTTATGATAACAAGAAATAATATCAGATTAAAAAGACATTAACTGCTTAATATATATATATATATATATATATATATATATATATATATATATATATATATATATATATATATATATATCTGTATTAATCAATTCACTCAAGCAAGTCGATAATGATACTAAGACACAAGGGTCTGCTTGGAGTTAATGAGAATGCAAAGACATTAGAAGGAGCTGGAAACTCAACCTTAAACAGGAAACAAGAGATAAATCTGTTGTTCAAAAGATCAGCTAGGAGTGTTAATCAGGCTATAGGTGAACTGAGTTACTCCTATTGAGAAAAAATATATAAAAAAATACTAAATAGAATATAAGAGTTTAGGAAAGAGATATTAGATGTATAGAGTTGAAGTAGACTTTATAAGGAACCGGAAACCCAATCCTAAACAAGAAAAAAGGTATAAACCTCTACTCTTGTTCAAAAAACCGGGAAGGAGTGAGAACTGGACGACAAGCAAACATAACTACTCATATCGAGAAGGCAAAGGAATGCACAAATAATAATGTGTGTGTGTGTGTGTGTGTGTGTGTGTGTGTGTGTGTGTGTGTGTGTGTGTCTGTATATATATATATAAATGACGAGCGGGTCTTAAATGCCACTTAAGATTATCGCAGAAAATTTCATAACTGAATCAACTAAGCTGTCAGATCCTCATACGTCGAAACCGACGGGAGAGTCCATTATATGGGCATATGGTCGAGTGGTTAAAATGTTCGTTTTCTGACCATGAGACCCGGGTTTGAATCTCACCATGGTCGATTTGTCAGGAAAGTGACTTCCTAATGTTATCGGACTGGATTGAGGTCGATCCCAATATGCGGCACCTTTGGAAAGTGCCTGAAAACCATACCACAGGTTGACCGAAGCCTTGTGAGTGAAATTGGGTAGACGGAACTCTTGTGGGTTGTTGATAGCTGTGCTAACACAAAACCACATGTCATTGTGGCCGAGGGCTTGGGCATGCTGGCCTTGTTCAAATTGTTGATCACGCTAAATAACACGCTCTCTCTCTCCCAGAATCTGTAATTAAGGTCTGCTCAGCATAGTTGCAGTATAAACAATAGGATATAATATTTATGTTAGACACACCACAAACTCACTTTCACGATGCTTGACTCTACATTTGAATGATAACATTTTTGGCATTTAAAACAACATTCATGGCTGCATACACAATTCTGGAAAATCCTCATTGAAAACACAACTATACTTATAAAACAGTTGAAACCTAACCTGAACAAAATAAACTAGGAAATGTCCACAAATATTCTTAAATGCCTATAATTGATAACAGAAGCCATTGGTTTATACCAACAGCCTCCCATGCTTAATCCTTCTCGTTTTCACTCTCGTGTGGTCATGTGTGATGTCATGAGCTGCAGTGCGATTTTTGCTTCCGGCGTCTCGTATGCACGAGTTTGTCGTTGCTTGGAAATCATCCAGGCAAACAAAAACAGACTATCATTATTGTTTTGTCCGTGTATTGGTTAATATATTGTAATGTAATTGTCATTTTTGATAATGGCTTATGTAAGCGAAAAGCTTAGACAGGATTAAAAAATATGTATCAATATGCTGATTTTCGTTCATCTTTTAATGATATTGTTATTAAGCTTATCAGACGATATGAAAAGAACTGACATAAAATAAATGGACAAAACTTTTTTATATTATTTAATGAAACATGCATCAATGAAAAAATGCTGCCTTAATACACACTATAAATATATATATATATATATATATATATATATATGTGTGTATTTGGACAGAAAGAATAATATGTGTTCTATTCTTTAATAAGATTTCTTGAATATTCAAGTCAGTAAATGAAAATAAATAAATATGAATAAATAAATGTTGAGTCTAATCAAAAATGGGTATTTACTAAAAATAATGTTTATTAGACTAATGAATAAAAAATACATCACTTCTCCATATATATATATATATATAAAATACTTTGAAGCTTTGTATTGGGTAACTACTTTTACATTTTGCATTAAAAAAATCTAAATTTTACATTAGCAGTTTTATGTATATATGTGCAGGTGTGTGTGTGTGTGTGTGAGAGATATTCAGAAATATTACCAAAATGCAACATAGTACTTGCTCTAAAGAACAAATCAAAATACTTGAGAATATTATTAAACAGAAGGAACAACCTGCATTAAATATCTTTCAGCATGCTGACTGTTAAAAAAAATTGCATTCCTTTTATTTATTTATTGTTAGTACGCTGACGTATTCATTTTGAGAAAATGTGAAAAGAACAATAGATCTTGTGAATGTCATTAAGAAACAGACACACATTTAGAAAAATCACTAAGCGTGAAACAGCTCTGTAAATACGGTAAATAAAACAGAAACGCTATTTTTTATGTGCATTAAAAAAAGCAATTTTAAAAGAATTTAAAATAAAGCACTTATTTACATAAGAAAAGCAATACACAAATGATATATATATATATATATATATATATATATATATATATATAAAGAAAGAACAGTAAGATATATAATCCAGTATTCTTATAGATATTTTTATTTTTACAAAATAGTGCTCAATGTAAATTTACAGAGCATTAATATTATAAATTAACTGATTTAAAATATGTTTTTTTTCACAACACAGTTCTAACTATGTTTCAAAAATGGAAGCTAAAAGCTTCAAATTTAATTTTGTAATTAAATTAAAGACATTAGTTCCATTTCATCCTCAAGCGAATTTTGGGGCAACTTATTTTTAAAATTACTGGGTTTTAAAGGCACTGCAAAAATTCATAATTCACGTTTCCAAGGATACAGAGAAATCCATTCATCCAGACAAGGGGTGGTTGTGTGTTCATCATCACTGTATTTTGTTGTATCAGTTATTAGTTACGTTTTTGTTTTTATATATATATATATATATATATATATATATATATATATAATCACTATTGTTAAAGGCAGTACACTCCATGAGGGAAAGTGATACTTTGGAGCAGAAGGCAGTTATACTGTTACATTTTAAGCATGGCCACATCGCTATCAATTTTGACTCCTGCATGGGAACAGGCATGAGAACATTGTCAAAAGTCAGGACAATGCTTCTCCAAGGTAGGTCACATTTTTAAATGAACACTGTGCTTTTCAAGATGGAAATAAAAGTTCTCACAACGGTTTAAAATCCAGACAAGCAATCACAGTGCATTACCAAGCAAGCTGACCTCATCCACCCTACAGTCTTGATCTGACACTCTCAGACTTTCATCTGTTTGGGTCCAGGTAGGAGGCATTCAGAGGACAGCTATTCACTAACGATGATGAAATGAAAAACTGTTGAGGTCAAATTTGGACTCTTCAGACTATTGTATTCATTTTGGTATCCTTTGCAAGCTTCTACATTTAAATCTATTGTAGTTAAAGAAGAACAGGTATTACTTTTTGACTGACCCTCATACAATGATTGAGAAGGAAAGTGACTATAATGAGAATAAGATTTAAAAATAGCCACAAGTGAATGAACCCTGTAGGTCTTCATGAGAACCATTCTTCTTCAAACCCTGGTGCTACAGAACCACAAAGAACTCTGCCAAGTAACAGAAATCACATTACCTAAGGACTTTCCACAGTAGCAACAACTAAAATGGATATCACATGTAACTCAAAAAGAAAATAAAGACATTATCAAGATGTTAAAGTTGCACCTGATTTCAAACAAAAAGTTAGGAGGGAAGCACCTATCAATACTGGAACGAGAAAATAACAGTTACTGGACTTGTGAAACTTATTTTCCTGAATTATTTTTTTAATAGAGGAAAGTTTTATAAATTTAAACAGGCAGTAGCACAGGCGGCTTGGTCAATGAAAGCTGAATGTTTCCATAGAAGGAGACAGTTGATATCACCAATACCAGATTTGGAATCTTGTGATCTTTTTGTTCATTTTGGTATACTTTGTGTACTTCTTCTTTAAATCTATTAGAAATGAAGAAGAACAGGTATTACTTTTTGAGTGAACATCATACTATGATTGAAAAGGAAGGCAACTATATTGAGGAATAAATTTTGAATCCTGTGATCTTTTTGTTCACTTTGGCATGCTTTGTGTACTTCTACTTTTAAATCTATTATAATTAAAGAAGAATAAGTATCAGAATTTGTCCAGCCTTTTTACTACAACTGAGAGGGAAGTTGATTATGTTCCGGTCTAGATTTGAAACTGAGAGACATTGTGTTCCTTTTGATATGCTTTGTCTGCTTCTACTTTTAAATCTATTATAAATAAAGAAGAACACGTATTACTTTTTGACTGATGCTCCTACTATGATTGAAAAGAAAGGTGACTATGTTGAAGATTAAATTTGGAATCTTGAGACCTTTTTATTCATTTTGATGTCGTATGTCCTTCTACTTTTAAATCTTTTATAATTAATGAAGAACATACATGAGATTTTGACCAGTCTTTTTACCACAACTGAGAGGGAAGGAGACCAGGTTGAGGTCTAGATTTAAAATCCTGAGACATTTGTGTTCATTTTGATATGATTTGTTTGCTTCTACTATTAAATCTCTTATAATTAAAGAACATGCATTACTTTTTAACCCAGTCTAATGTGCGTATTTAAAAAGTAGGCAGAAATATATTAAAGTCTGGCAAGAGAGAATGATTGGAGACTTGCTTTTGCTACTATTAAAATGTGGATTTTATGCACAATAATCGTCTGAAAAGTTGCTTTGAAGTAAGTAAAGGCTTGGCAAAAAGATTTGAAACGTCAAAACAGTTTGTTTGGCAAGTGTACATTGAGGATGGGTTGATTTTGTGAAGGTGTGAGGGAGGACAGGTATAAAAAGGGAGGCTAACAATCAGGAGAGGGAGGTGTTTGCAAGCATTGTAAACAATCTGCTCAAAAAGTAAAGAGCAACTTGTAAAATGGCAGCAAAGAGATAGAGAAAAGTAAAAGAATTAAAGAAAGAGAGAAAAAAGGAACTGAGAAAGAAAAAAGGAGCAGACAGAACAAGAAAGGAAATGAGAGAGAGAGAGAGAGAGAAAGAGAAGAGGAGGAGGATGAGAGATAGAGAAGGGAAAGAAAGGAAAATGACTGATAGGTCAAAAGAGAAAGATTAAAACGGAAAAAAAAGATAGAGAAAACGAAAACAAGAGAGGTAAAATATACATCAGAGAGAGAAGAGGAAGAAATAGGAAGAAGAGAAAAGAAAAAGATTGGGATCATAAATGAAAGAAAAGACACTGAAAGAGAGAAATGAAAAAGGAAAGCAAGAATGGCAAAGAGTAAGTGAGAGCAGAGATAGAAAAAAAAAAGAAAAAAAGAAAGAGAAAACCAAGAGAGAGAAGAAAAAAGATAAAGAAGAACAGACAGGAAAAGAGAAAAAGAGAGAAAGAAAAAAAAAAGAGAGAAAGAGAGAAAGAAAATACAGAAAGAGAGGAGTAAAAAGTAGAGACAAATAAGAAGAGAGAGAGATCGAGAAGACAAAAAGAAAACAAGAACAATGATGTAAATAAAAGATATGTAAGTATGTAAACAACAACAAAGTGATATGATAGCCAGACAGAGTGGGATGAGAGTGAAAAATAAAGGGTGGATGATAAACTAAAATAAGAAAACTAAATAAAATGAGTGGCGATAAAAAAGAGAATGCAAGATTTAAAAATAAAAAAAATAAAAAAAAAAAGAAGGAAGAGTGAGAATGAAAGAAAAGAAAGAAGGGAAAGGTAAACAAGAAAAGTAAAAAAAATAAAGAATAAAAAAAGATAAACAAAAGAAAAATACAAAGAAAAAGAGTGAAAGAAAGTCACAAAAAGGAAAAGAAAAGAAAGAAGGAAGTCAGTGAAAGAAAAGAATATAAAGTGAAATTGAAAACAAAATGAAAAAGAAACAATCAATAAAAAAATAGGGAAAGAAAAAGGTGAAACTAAAAAGAAAAAAAATTTGAAACCTTCAGAAGGAAATGGCAATGTAAGGCAGGAGAAAGTAAAATAAGAAAAGACTTGAAACATGATGAAGGAAAAAATAAATTTGTTAAAAGAAACATCAAAAGTTTGTTGATTGATGTTATCCTGAGTTGAGTGTGTTTGTAGCAATGTGGTCAGAAAAAGGAGAAAAATTTGGGACATAACAGGGTGACTATGAAAAAGAATAGCATCAAGTATTAAAAACATTAAAAAAAAAGGAATTCTCTTTCAAATCAAAAATAAAAAGAAAACCTTCATGAATAAGATTCAAAGTCTTTCTCGTGATTATCAGTTAACTCTTTATTGTTTTATATATATATATATATATATATATATATATAAAACCATTAATTAATGGAAATGTAATTCCAATTAAATGCAAGACAGAGTTGATTTTTTTAATACAAGGCTCAATATCCTGTAGATAAATTATTTACTTTTAGATGTCGAACGATCATTTCTATCTATTTTTACACTTTCATAACATTTTGACCCCTGTTTGTGGGTTAACTATTTACCCATAGCTGGGAGCCTAACAGGTGCTACCACCCCAGGTCAGGGCAGACCTGGGAACACCAGCAATTAAGAGGTGGTTCCATGCTCCTCAAAACCTCCTGATCAGAGGCCTTGCTGTTGGACATAGTTTAGCATCTTCCCCAGGATGTGAATGTAGCTTATCGTCATACCCAGTATGGCTTTGAGAGTGAAACAATTCACTGTAACTTGTAAGAATTTGAGGTTAGTTCAGTGATGATTGGTTGGTTTTGTTTAGCAGCATATAAACCTGTGGTGTTTATTTAAAGCCAAAATCTGAATATTTGGAACATAATTGTATGACTTCAACTACAGATAAAATGTATTGTTGGTCATTTTGCTATAAAATGTATTGTTGGCAATTCTACTACAAAATGCATTGCTGGTCATTGTACTATAAAGAGGTATTGTTGATAATTTCACTATAAATATGTACTGTTGGTAATTTTTAATAAAAAAATGTATTGCTGGTATTTTTACTATAAAAATGTATTTTTATACTTTCATAGTATTTTATTTTTGTTTGAGGGTTCACTATTTGCCCATAGCTGGTACCCCTAACAGGTGCTAACTACTCAGGATCAGAGTGGACTTGTGAACAACAACAATTTAGAGGTGGTTCCACATTTCACAAAATCTCCAATGGCTCGATCAGAAGTCTTGCTGCTGTATTCAGTGATGGTGTAAACTTACTAGATTGGTTTTTGTGGTATTGAAATTTATTGCTCAAGAAAAGAAAATTATAAATGTAAATTTTTAAGACCACTCCATTGGCCCTCCCAACAAGACAGCTGACAAAACAGGCTTTTTACTTGTATGTTACTTTAATTATGGCTTTATAACTAAGCTAAGTTTTGTAAATTCATGACTACATAGGATGCACTTTGACAGGGAGATAGCTACATGGAGCCAGAAATGAGTGCAAGAGAAAAAAGATCTTGAATGATAATTTTCAAGGAAGCAAGCAGTCTGGCCAGCCTTCCTTCAAATATTTGTGGAATATTTTGTGATGTACAGTGGCCATTAATAATTAAGTATAACTCAAGACTTCAATGTTAAATAAAACAACTGCAAATAAATACTTAACAAGAACAAAGAAGCAAAACTCAACCAATGATAATTAACCATTTCAGTGAATACCTTGTTGGTAATGTAGCTTAGCTTAATATCTGGTAAATCCTAAATCAAAACCCAAATCATCAATGCACAATAATTCACACTAATTCAACTGGATAGTTCCGGTCAATAATCACTTGCAGTCAGTAGCCTAACACCACTATTTATACACCTGGTGGAAAACATATATTCATATGACCAGAGTGTCACGCTCAAACCTCAGTGTCGGTAGTTACTCATTTTCCTCCTATATAACAATTTTTTACCTTGGTTTCCCCCTTCACTCCATTTAGCCTTGTATCATCTGAAGCTAAATTCAGTCAATATCAGTAGATTACCTGCTCGACATGAAATTTGCTGATTCTTAACAATAAAAGATTAAAGCAAAAAATAGAAAGAGAAAAAAACTGTCTTGGGATTTAATGTCTGCAGCTTATCTAAATAGATCATTACTTTTATCGATTCAGATAACACATAACGTGACAGAAGAACTCAACTTGGGATTCAGGTACATATTGAATTCTATGAGATGAAAATGTACCTCATTTTGATGACACAAAATATGGACTGTGAACAAACAAATCCACTTATTAACATGTATCATATTATAAATATAAAGTCTAGAACAGTGAAAGCCTACAGCAATGACTGAACAAATGGAAATGGTGAGATTTTTTTTTACAATAATATTCACCCAGTACAAGGCCCAAGAGCCACTTGAGGTAGAAGGTTACAAAGTAAGAAGTAAGAGGCACAGTTTATGAGGATATGTGGGAATGCTAACAGTAACCCCCAGACTTGAACAGGTTAAGATTGTAGGGATTGAAGAATCACCCTCTTAGGAGTCAGTTCTGAAGAGTAGCAGTTCATGGGAAGAAGCTGTTTGAGTGGAACTTGCATCTAAGAAATGCATTATGAAAGGAATGAGTATGGTTCACTACAAGGTACATAGTATGTTGGGTCTTAATCATGAAGGTTAGACCTGGTGAAACTAAGGAATGTGTTGTGGGGCCAGTATACACATTGAGAGATAAACATGTATGTCTCTTGAAATCCCCACAACCAACATGACAGACTCAGGATATGAGTCCATGTAAAAAAAAATGTAAAGAAACAACAAGGACCAATATAGATGTGTACAAACAAATGAAAATGTGTTAACAATAAAGGGTTACATAAACGATGGAATATTGTTGCATGTTACTGAACAATGGACATGAATGAAGAAAACATTTAAGCTAGTGAATTGTATGCATATATGTAGTTTGGTGTAGGAGAAAGTCCTAGAAAAAATGAAGTGAAAGGTGCATACGTATGTGTGTGTCTGTGTGTGCATTGTTCATGTGTAATAAAAAAGGGAATGCGTTCTTCTGCGAGAGACTTACATGTTGACCTATATGTAGAAAAAATTAGAAAAAGAGAGTGAGAAAAGGTATTGCCGAGTATGTATAGACCAGAAAGTGTCCCCTAGTAGCGGTTTCAAAAATTAGGAGATGATAACCCAACAAATGTAGTTAATCTGAACACTTTCCACATAAATAGCAGTAGATTAGTGAGTGGCTTGCAATGTTTCATAACCGTTTATATACAGAAAACATTAAACATTTATTGACCAAACAGTTGGCATTATTATTGGATTAAAATTTATAAAACCATTCTCTTAAAATGTTTGAAAATCTTTAAACTTTGAGCCTGCAAAAATACATGTGTGCCAAAAAATAATTTTACATTTACATTCTAAAAACTAATACAATTAAAACTAATACAACTACAATATTTATCATTTACCAATTTACAAAGAAATAAATATGAAAACAATTTTTTATTCATAAATTTATAAACATTTATTAAGTTATTAAAATATGTGAACCAACTATAAGCAAGTTTTTATTATTTATCATTTAAAGTTCAAATTGATTGGTAATTGTAGCTTCTTGTTGTGTTGAACAAAGCATTCCAATATCCTATGTTAAATTTCTTTATCACCTATACAAAATTTGTTCTAACTGATCTATAAAACAAAGTATTTGAAATATTTACAGTTTATTAATTCCACAATCTGAATTTTTATAATAGAGTCAGGCTATGTGCTATTACTGATTTCGTTTCAATTCAAAGTAGCCATTTCAATAAACAATATAATGAATAGTGTAAATCAAAACTTCTAATAAATAAATAGTGTTTATTATTATTTTTGTTGTCAATTCCCAAGAACAAAGAAAATGTATAAATTCACTTTCATCAGCTTAGGTTTTATTAAAATTATAATTGCTGCTTTTTAAAACAATCAATATTGCTGAGGAGTGAAGGTAGTTAAAATAATAATGGTGTTAAAGGAAAAAAACTTTTGTTTTTTTGCAGGCATGAAGGTTAAAGATTGTCAAAAATGTTTCAACAAAATAATTTTCCCATGTTCACTTTTTTGTTGTTTTCTTTCTTCATAGGAATTTCCTTCCCAACCTTTTTGCTATGTATTGC